GTGGCAGAACTACCTGGATTGCAGCGCTTGCAGTTGGGACCAGGCCCTGGCACTTCACCACTGTCCTAAAATCATTAGTCTGTATTGTTTTAGAAAAACTGTCACAATTGGTACCGGCGAGTACTTGAGGAAAAGTATCTGTACTGTACTGGGTCAGGAAAAAATTGTATCCGTGCATCCCTACAAGCCAGAGAGAAAGAGAGAAAAAAACTTAAATTATCCTTACCCCAATCCACTGACAAGCTCGGCCTCCTCTCTCCGACGCTGGCAGAAGTGATGCAGTGTGCGTCTGTTACTATTTAAACAAGCTGTATCCAGCTTCTGACAGGATAACAAAATGTGCAGCGGGTTTGACTACTACGCTAATAGTGAAACCTGTCCGAACGCAAAATGTTAACTGGTTGCGTAAAACGTTAATTAAAGCACTTACCTTAAATGATGTCTCTTAATCCGATCTTCCTCTTCTTTCCTGATGTTTTCAGCCTTCTCTCCAGCGCTGCGGCGAATCTCCGATCCAGCGCTGACTCCTCTGAGCTGGCACGTACTCTCCGACCGTGTCTGCATGCGGGTGCACGCGTCCATAGACTTACCTTGTGTCTTTCCTCGTGTCCCAGCCGAAAATGTGAACTGCGCATGCGCCCGCCCCAAGATGCTTTGAGGCCGCCCGTTCCGTTTCACATTTTTGTAAGGAAGTGCACAGGGAACACATAGGTAAGTTTAAACCGCTGTTAAAGCGTTTTAAATAAAAACTTTTTGCATATATCTACTGCTTGCTAGCAGTAGATTTAAGCAAAAAAAGCTGAGGGTTTATAAACCCTTTAAGCAGAAAGGGGTGGGGCCAATTTAGTATAGGGGGGTGTCCGAGTTTAGTCTTGTATAGGGCAGCACAAAACCAAAATACACTACTGCTCCTAACCCTACTGTATTGAAACTGTATTGTAATTACTGTCTCCCTTCATTTTGTAAAGCCCTACGCAAACTGTTGGTGCTTTATAAACCCTGTATAATAAAAATAAATAAATATATATATAATAGGTATGTGTAAACACAGCAGGCACAGCCTATGATGTCTTTAAATCCTGTAGCAAATGTAACCTAGGAACGAAGCATTTTTCCTGCATTTAGCTTACTAAATGTGAGGCATTTGGAAAGCAGGGAGTGGGTGGATGTATAAACACACGCCAAGGAAACTCGTTTTCACGTGTTTTTTATTTTCTTTCTTTTTTTTTAAAATGCCGATTAGCTTCTTCGTTTGAATTGTGCATGGCCTGTACGAGTTGAAGCTGGATTAATTCAAATGTGACTCACCCCCTTCTGCTGTACCCAATTAGCAGCTCCCCCATTAAAATCATTTTTTCCTCTGAGCATTTCAATTACAGGCAATCATATCTGAAGTAATGAGAACTACTCTAAGCCTTTTTATGAGGAGTATACTGGGAATTGGCCTGCAAAACTTAATTGCTGATATTATATATCAGCAATTCCATTTGAGAACATTCTATATCGCTTCTATCAATTTAATGCTATAATTCTGGAGCCAAACTTGCCCGACTGTTTTTGGAGGGAACGCCTCTTAACACAAGTGAGGCAGACATTTTTTTTTTTTTTTTTTTCGGCAAGCGGTAGATTCTTTTAGTAGGATATAAACAGTGATTGGTTTTTTTTTCACTTAAGATGAATTTTTAGTGGGTTTGAACATTTGTCCATTTATAGTCGGGTTGGTAGGAAGTATGGTATAGCCAACAGTTGGAGCTGTGGGCTCTTTTTTCTGTTTTCTTCTGTCTTGTTGTAAAAAGCCTGTTGTATACAGAGCTAAATAGCTCAAGCTGAAATGAGCCATGTTCCAAGCAAGATATAGAGGCTGCTATTATTGACCTGCTTCTGAAAATGCTACTTGTATGGCAGTCATGCCCGATTCCCTTACTTAGGTACTTGGACTTGCCGACTCGGAAACATACATGCAGCTAGTGAAACCAGAGCAATGTCAGAACTCCTTATTTGCCTACTGACTCCAGGTAAAGGATTAAGTAAGCACTGATGCCATTACAACAGCTTGACCATTGGGCAACTAGTATTTTAAAATGGAATGACAACCCTCCCATCCCTTACTGCCAAGGAACGTGCCATCTTAAATATTTGGATTGCAGTTACAATTGTGCTGCAGCTATGCCACCAGCCATTTAAGGCCTTGAAAGTTGGCAGCTTCCAAAATTCTCTAGGCTTTTCTTAAAATTTACACACACACAAGTGAAATGTGCAGCAAATTTATAAAATACAGTTCTTCTGTGGATTTAGATGGTCTCAGTTGCTTTTGTCTTTTCATGTAATCTCCGACAGACTCAATGATGTTGAGATCAGGGCTATGTGGAGGCCTTACCATCTCTTTCAGGACTCCTTGTTCTTTTCATTAAAGATAGTTCTTTTAGGCTTTTATGACTTTGACTATATGTTTGGGGTTATTTCCTGCTGTAGAATACATTTGGAACCGATCAGACACCTACCCTGATTGAATAGGATGATGGATCGTTAACTGCCTGTACTTTTCACCATTGAGGAGACCACTAAGGCCCCGTTCACACTGAGCGATTTATCGCGCGGTAATTCCCGCGATATCGCGGCTATTTACCGTGCGATATCGCTCTCCAATGCATCTCAATGGGGCTCTGTCCGTCGCTGTCGCGGGTCGTGCGTCGCTACAGCAGGACCCTTTTTGGAGCGGATTTTGCCACGATTCTAGCTTGCTCAATGCAAGTGACAAACGCGCGATATCGCGCAAAATGCAAATCGCGCGATTTGCGAATCCCTCAGTGTGAATGTGGCCTTATTCTGACCGGCAAACAAACTGCTTTCTGTTACAATATTTCAGTTGAGGACTTATCAGTCCAGAGCATCTGCTGCCACTTTTCAGCACACAAGTTGTGCTTTCTGGCATAAGCGTGTTTGGCCTTATTTCCACAACAGAGGTATGGCTTTTTAGCTGCAGACTTCTCCAAGCTGTAGATGGGTGTACCCAGGTCCCAATAGTTTCTGCCAGGTATGGGCTGATGGTGTTTGGACTAATTCTGACTTTGAAGGGAAGTCGACATGAAATGCTGCACTAAATTTCCTTGGCCAATCACTAGGGTTTCCAGTTCTTTTTTCCTATTAACTTTCTTTAGGTTAGGCTTTGGTTCAGCATAATTTTGTTCTGAAAGAGGAGCCATTTTGTTTATATAAGACGGATGGCTAAATCCACTTCTCATTTGAGTGTAGGTCCTGCCTCGGAGATTGGAATGCCTGTCCTCACTTACCCTGTTCTAAGGATATCCATATCTTAATATTTATATTGTGTGTCCTGTGTGTCTAAACCCTAGAACAAAAATATAATATCTTGCAGCTTACTGGTCCTTGGTTGCTTTATTTTGTTTTCAGTCTTCTTGTCCTTTTAGTTTCATCAGGTGATCCTGCTGGTAACCCTTTTCCTTACTCACTAACTGCTGTATGTATAGAGGAGTAGCTATGTCACTCATAGGGGGAGGTGTTCTGTAGTTCGCCGAGCTTATATCACACTGCTTGAGATAACACTGCAGAGCACACAGGACAGCATTGGATTTTTGGCAATATCAACAGGTGTATCTTTTTGTGCTTATTAAACAGATATAACAAAGTGCTTTCAATTCTTTATTTAACCGATTAAAAGGGATCAAATGAAAGAGGCTCAATGTTAGGATTTATATTAGGGATGCACTGATACTAGTATTGGTATCAATACCGAGTATTTGGGCAAGTACTCGTACTCACCCAAATGCTCTGATGCTTAGCCCGATACTCGAACTTCCGGTATCAGGAACCCGGGCAGCAAATAATTACAGCTGCCGGCTTCCTGATTGGCCAGGAAGCCGGCTCCATGCTTCTTTGTCACTTGGTGACGAGGGAGCATGGAGCCGGCTTCCCGAGCCAATCAGGAAGCCAGGCAGCGTGTAATGACTCACCGCCTGGCTTCCTGATTGGCCAGCTTCTTGATCAATCAAGAAGCCAGGTGGCAAGCCATTACCCGCCCCCCAGTTTCCTGATTGGCCAGAAGGCCGCATCCAAGCATGGAGACAGCTTCCCTGCTATTCAGGAAGCCGGGCAGTGAGTCATTACACGCCGCCTGGCTTCCTTAATCGGACTTCTGGTATCGATATTCGGTGTCAGCGAGTACAGAAAAAAACATATTGGTACTCGATACTGAAAAAACTGTATCGGTGCTTCCCTAGTTTATATACTTCAAAGCATATGGACACTTTTTTTAGATTTTAATCTCGTCTTATACACCCCTTTAATCCAGCAGTCCTCTGACTGGAATGTCATGTGAGCGGTGCTCTGTGCTTCAGTACTACGAGCCCAGGGTGACATGGTGACACATACCCAGTGGCAATGCCAATGACAACCTAGGGTTACAGAATGTGGGTTGAAGCTGGCTATTATTCTTCCTGGAAAAGGAGTGCCAGCTAGCAATGGAGAAAACTTTCTGCAGGGGACAGCCCTGGGTTGAAGGTGAATATCGAAGTGGAAGCTGTTTTTTTGTTTTAATAAGTGCTGGGTGATTTATTTTTTATCATTTTGTTTTTACGCTTCTGCAGTAAATTGTATTTGTTAAAAATATGACCGTATAGAATGCTATGTGTGTCATACCAGTCATGAGAGAAATATGCATTTCTTTCATCTAGGGCTGCAACAACTAATCGACATAATCGATTTTGAAAATAATCGTTAGCTGCAGCTCTACTTTCATCTGTTTCTTTCAACAAGTATCCTTTTAGTATGACTTTATTGCCTTCAGTCAATATCACCATCATATCGTGAAAATCTGATTACATTTTAGGATACATTTATGCAGAAAACAGACAATCAAAAGATTTCACAAACTTTTTTCTAAAAACTAAAATGCCATTCGAGCTGTCTTCAGCTGTTCTTTTATTGCATAAGTGGGTGAACTTTAGTAGTGAGGAGTTGCTGATGTGTGTATTTTCTTACAGCTCGCTGAGACTGTTCACTGGCAAGCGCCTCAGAATGTTTCCTGCTCCTCCCGTCTCTGAACAGACAACTATAACAGGTCAGTAACCTCAGGAGAGAACCTTTCCCAGTTTTGAGCTTTTGTGCACTGCATTTTACCCCTGCCCTATATGTACTGTTCATCGGAAACAATAAAGCTTTTACAGGTCATCAGTTTAGAATGAACTGTAAATAATGGCCCTAGAATTGTTTCTTTCACTTTGGCGTGTACAAGGATACCCAACATGTGTTGTGCAATCATCTTTTTTGTATGTAGATGCACTCGATTTGTGTATGTGGGGGCATGAGAACATAAAACATTTTTGGGGATTTTTTAAAAACTTTATTTAACCACCTCCGGGCCGGCCGTAGTAAAAAAACGGCCGGCCCGAGCTCTCTAGATCTGAGCGGGCGTCTTTAGACGTCCGCTCAGACACGCCCCCCCGCGCGCCGCTCGGCGCGCGCGAGCGGGAAATGGCCGTTTTTTAAAAACAGGCAGCGATGCCTGTCACCATACAAGCGATCCGCCGGCTGTAGAGCCGGCGGATCGCGTGTATGGGGTGCCGATCGGTC